CACACACACACACACACACACACACACACACACACACACACACACACACACACACACTTCGGGTTCGTTCAGCCTGGCCGTTACCACCTCGCCCCATAGCCTCTCCCCACTTGCTCGCACTGGGTCACACATAAATGACCAGATTCAGACATATGAGAGGAAAATCCAACACTGCAAGGTGAACAATCACCACGACACAATCAATCGTAATGGCCATAACGATCAAGATGGGCAGGATGATCATGACCAACGAAACCTTCTGCGATCACGAATAGTTACTCATAGACGGATGATGGCGAGCACACAGCAAACAGCTCGGCAATCCATAGGCAACACATCGACGATCTCCTAGTTTAATTGGGAATGGATCTTCCACTAGAACATGGAAAGAAACATAACCAGCGAACGAGACCACCACTACAGGTGAGGCCGGGACCGCGGCAGCAGCGATCACGAGCATCGTTCTAGTCACACACAACACGACAATCACCACTTTGAGCACAATCACCAATTTGAAAGCAACGACCCGGATGAGCGCGATGGACAGTGCAATTACCAGACAAGGTCGGGCACAACAATGAACAAGAGTGGGGAACGACGATGAGAACAAGCACAAGGGGCTGCATTGCCCCCGCTCCACTATTCACCGGATGTGCAAAATGAGAATGAATCTTCCGCTAGAACATGGGAAGATCCATCCACTACGAAGGAGGCAGCCACCAAGCAAGGAGGATAACTGAGAAGTAGTGGTTGCTCTCTCTCTCCCTCTCTTATATCATTTTCCACCCTCCCCAACTCACCTCGTCGCCCTTGCAGTCCGTTGTCCTCTTCGTGTCATCTGAACAATGAAAAAATACACTGCTCCACTCTTCGCTATTTCAACGCACATTACCCCGCGCGCAACCTCCCTGCATCATAGCGCTCAGACCACTCATCAAACCCAAAACCTGGCATGGCCATCTGTTCAAACCGTTTCAAAACCCCCATTTTGACTCCTCATTCGCCCAATTTCGTTAGGAATCGGGCGACATACACCATTTTCCCATCTTGCTTTTCACTTCGTTCCTCGTTTCAACTTCAACCCGACACCTCCTGCGCACTCTTTTTTCCCCTATCTCTTCTTCTACTAGCTTTATACTAGATCTGACCTCAGATCTGGTGTCGCCAGCCCCTAAAACCCCAGTTTAGCGCTTTCCCCCACTTAATTTTGATAGGAATCCAGTAAGTTATGAGTTTCCCCCTTTGCCATGTCCATTTTCTCCTCCACCTTTGTCAGTTTCGCCCCAATAGGCATGTTCGCACTCAAACCTCTCACAATAGTGGCTGGCCGTTGGTGCACCTGCAGGTGGTCCCTACCACTCAGGTTTCTTCTGCCTTGTGGGTTAAGCACCCACTGGCTTTCATGCACGTTGATCCCTTCGGTCCGAGGTACGAAGACGGGTAGGATAGATGAATTTCAGCAGCATTCCAAACACGCAGGAACCCGATCGGGCCCGCCAAAAGAGACATGTGCTCAAGGTTCTTGACTGTAGTGATGGCCACCCGTGAGGATCTTAATCGCTCCCCACTGCAATGCTGGTCACTGCAGCCCATGCTGATAGACACCTCACGTCCATCAAGGAGGGCGACGATGCAGTCGCCGTCCACCCCCGTTCAGGTGTTGATATACGACTTCCCTCCATTCCCTCCTTGCTCAACAATTTCAAGCATCCCTTTGACTATCTTTTAAAGTTATTTTCATCCTTCCCTCGCGGTACTTCTTCGATGTCGTCCCTCACAAGTATTTTTACTTCAACTAGTTTCGTACGAATTTGGACACACGTCCATAGTTTTAACAGTTCGTGGACATACCATCTGGGCTACACTCGTCGGTTCCCCTATTGGCCCTGGAGCTGGTTTCCGGCCCCGTCAAAAAGACAGAATCTTAAAAATAAATAATAATAATAATAATAATAATAATAATAATAATAAATTTATAAAAACAATCAAATTGAAGGAATTTTGAGGAGGGGGAAGGACGGGGACCCATCGGCACCCTTTTGGTCTTGCATGCCGACAGAACAAAGGGTGATAGTCCCACAAGACCCTCAACCGCTCCGCCTCAA